TGATGTTAGCTTTTCTAACAGGTATAAGGTAATATCTCATTGTGGTTTTGATTTGCATTTCCCTGACAATTAGTGATGCTGAGCATCTTTTCATATGTCTGTTGGCATCTGTATGTCTTTTTTGTGGAAAAATAGCTATTCAGATCCTCTGCCAATTTTTTAATTGAATTGTTTGGGCCTTTTGGTGATGAGTTGAGAAAGTTCTTTATATACATATTTTGTATAATAACTCTGTATTGGTTATATAATTTGAAATGCCTTCTCCCATCCAGCAGGTTGCCTCTTTGTTTTGCTGATGGTTTTCTTTGCTATGCAAAAGATTTTATTTTGATATAGTCTCAATAGTTTTACTTTTCTTTTTAGAAAAATGTTTAGAAAATGTTGTTTAGAAAAATGTTGCAATGGCTCATGTCAGAGAATTTACTGTATTCTATTCTAGGATTTTTATAGTTTCAAGTTTCACATTTAGGTCTTTAATTCATTTTAAGTATTTTATATAGTTTTTTGGCTTGTGTGTGTGGTGTTAAAAGGTGGTCCAGTTTCATTCTTCTACTTGTAGCTGTCCAGTTTTCCCAACATCATTTATTAAAGAGACTGCCTTATCCCCATTGTATATTCTTGTTTCCTTTGTCATAGACTAATTGACCATAAGTATAGGCTTATTTCTGGACTCACTATTCTGTTTCATTGATCTACATATCTATTTCTGTGCAGTATTATAATGTTTTGATTACTACAGCTTTGCAGTATATCCTGAAATCTGGATTTGTGATACTTCCAGCTTTGTTTTTCTTTCTCAAGATTGCTTTGGCTATTTGAAATCTTTTGTGATTCCATAAAGATTTTAGTACTATATGTTTTAGTTCTGTGGAAAATGTTATTGGTATTTTGATAGAGATTGTGTTAATCTGTAGATTCCTTTGGGTATTATGAACACTTTAACAGGATTAATTCTTCTAATTCATAAGCATGTAATATCTTTCCATATGTTTGTGTCTTCAATTTCTTTCATCAGTGTTTTATAGTCTTCAGAGTATATGTCTTTCTCCTACTTGGTTAAGTTTATTCCTAGGTATTTTACTCTTTTTGCTGCAATTATAAATGGTGTCATTTTCTTAATTTCTCTTTCTGCTACTTAGCTTTTCTATACTTAGTATAGAAGCAGTATCAATTTCTGGGTATTAATTCTGTATCTTGCAACTTTACCAAATTCATTTGTCAGTTCTAGTAGGTTTTTGGTGGAGTCTTTAGGAGTTCCTCTGTATAGCATCATGTCACCTATAAATAGTGATAGTTTAACTTCTTCTTTACCAATATAGATTATTCTTATTTCTTTTTATTGTCTGATTGCTATGGCTAGCATTTCCAGTATGTTGAATAAAAGTACTAACCTTTCTTTAACAAGACAAAAGACATAGGAACTGAGTTGACATAGAAAGGACTATAAAGGAAATGTTCCTCAAAAAGTTATTTTACCTAAATATGCTTATATAATTTCATCTTTAGAAAATATTATATGAGTACAAATGTGTAATATAGTTTATATATGAGATACTTGTTACTGGAACAAGAATTTCACTGATCTAGGTAATATCGTACATTTTAATGATATGATAAACATTTGCTGTAGTTTGGATGATCAATTACCTTTTCCTAAAATATTTATACTGTGTTAGGCACCATGTTGGGATTAACCATGATAAGAAAGCAGGCCTGTCCTAAAGAAAGTAGGAAGTTATTGTCTGAAAGAGTATAAAAGCCATTCAACTGTAACAGAGTTTGAAATCTCAGGACACAGTGCTATGATGAACAAAAGACAATGCAGGTATGACATGTCAGAGAAGACTTCTTCAACCTTCAACTTCAAGGAGTAAGTGGACCAACTGAAAGAAGTGAGGAGAACATGGAAGAGTTTCCTAGCAGAGGGGGTGTCAATAAGAAGACCTGGAGGCAAGTAACTGGACAGCAGTAAAGGTTGTAGACAGCAATGAGGGAGGGAGTTGTGAAATAAGGATAGAAGGATGATTCAAGGACTGTGCACTCTGTTTAAAAGTCTGGAATTTTGCCCAGAAGAAAAGAGGTCATTCAAATTCTAAGTATAGAAGTGACATAATCACATATGTGCATTATAAAGATTACATCAAGTGCAATGCAGAGAAACAGATCAATTGGATTGAAAAGAGAGATTCACTCTAAGGATACTGCAGAATATGAAAAGAGATACTGGTGTCTTATAAACACTTAAGAGTGAATATAAATAAGATAGACTAAGACTAGCAAAATGTGGTAAATGACTAAATGTGGAGATAAGGGAAAGGGAAAAGCGTAAACACAGATCTAAGAGAATATCAAGTCCCTAAAATTGGGTAACCAGGGAAATGGTATTCACTAAAATGGGATCAGTAGGAAAGGACCCAATCTGGGACATGGCTTATCCATTGAACTTTATGTATATTGCACTAAAGGTATCTAAGGAACCCAAATAGAGGCATCCTATATGCAACTAGATGCACAGGTTTGAAGCAAAGAAGAAAGATCTGGTCTAGAGACTAATTATCAGCATATATATAGCAACTGAAATAACGGGCATAGATGAGATTGTTCAGGGATCCTATTTAGGCTGATAAAAGAAGGTAGCAAGACTCATTAGCAAGAATATGAACAAACATGGCAATAGTGTATCTGTGGATTAATGAGGGCAAGCTGGTTTGCAGCAAATGACAGAAGGTAAATTTCAAGAAACAATTGTAGGTAGACAACTCTTTTACATAAAGCTTCAGAGATATTTAGTATATGTGCTGGCAAAGTAAGCGTGAGCTTTAGAGATATTTAAAGAGCGACACGGAATAGATATAAGATTGTCTTAAAGAGGGACAGACTTAAGATGGTTAAATGTTCATTAGAGATATGAGTACACAATGACTTTGAAGACACAGGGTGGAATCTGAACACTCCCAAGGTGAAATAACTTTCAGGGGGGTAGGGAAATTATTTTATATATATATATTATGTAAAGAAGAAAATGGTGGATTCCAATTTTTTTTCTTAGCCCAGTCTATTAGTTTTCTATTGCTATGTAAAAAATTATTACACACTCAGTAATTTACAACTATACACATTTCTCATTTCACAGTTTTCAGGAGCCTGGACACTAGTTCACTGGGTCATCTCAGGGACTAACAGAGCAGAATCAAGCTGTTAGCTGGGGCGGGTATTCTCATCTGAAGTTCAGGGTCCTCTTCTAAAGTCACTGGTTCTTAGTAGAATTCAGTTCCTTGAAGCTGTGAGAGTGAGGTCCCTGCTCTGTTGCCATCAGCCAGGTGTTGGTCTAACAAGCCACATGTCCCTTTCACATTGTGCTATACGGTGGCAATTTGCTTCTTCAAGGCTGAGAAGAGAACATTTGCTGCTTCAGATTTCTCTAACATTGGGAAGGGCCCAGTCTCTTGTGATGGTTCACCTGATTAGATCAGGACCGCTCAGGATAATTCCCTGTGATTAACTCAAAGACCAGTGATTTGCAACCTTAATTCCATCTGAAAATTCCCTTCAGCTTTATAAGATAATGTAATCTAATCACAGGTGTGACATCCAATTGATTCACAGGTCCTGTCCACACCCAAGAGGCAGGGATACTAAGGACTTTTACTCCAGGAGATGGGATGTTTGAGGGTCATCTCAGATTTCTGAATAATACACATCAACCAAAAGATCACCCTAAATTTAAATATTTTTCTTTTCTTTCTGAAAGGGAGATTTGTTCACTATTCACTTAATGTGTGGGTTCTCATCTTAATACATACATTCATAAATTGTTTTATATCTTTTATGGAAGTAATTCGCAGTCATAAAAAACCAAAATCTACAAAACAACTAAATATTTAATATTCATTGAAAAAAGCAACACCATTGAAAACTTTTGGGACCCTCCAAACCCAGAGTTTGGTGAAGAGTGTAACTGCAGAGAGATCTCATGAGTCTACACAGAGATCTAAATCATGGACTTCAATTACACTAATATATATATTACTGAATATATATGTATACATTCAATAACACTATAATTGATAACATTTATATTATCATATATTTATAATGTTATAAATAACATTTATAATATATATATTATATACAGAAAACAAGAAAATGAAGACAATTATTGCAACTCTTTGTTACAGCTTTCTCACCTGTCTTAAAGCTATTATCCTTAGGCACTTTTGCTTTGGGTTGACACTAACTGTTGACCCCCTTTGTGGCAGTGCAGGCCTAGTGCTTAAGGCACTATCTCTCCTCACTCCCTAAGAGGTATATTCAAAAGCACACCTGATCCTGGACTGTCTCAGCACAGGAAGGGAAGAACAGGGTGTTGGGGACTCTGCCCTTCGGATTCAATATCTGTTTATGAAATGAGCGGAGACTAACCAGGTGAGAACTAAGACCTGTTCATAATAGAACCTGATTCTACTTAGTATCAGCCCACAAAACACGAATAGGACAAATTAATTCCCATTACTTTATTCCACCAGTATTGTACAAAATTAAACTATAATAAAATTAAGTGGAAAAACTGAGAAATGATGAAACAAATCTATCTTTTCTTAAATGTAATGTGTCCTAAAATTTGTAACACCTACCAAACAACAACAACAACAACAAAACAATATTGCCCTCAGCAAATAAGTAAGACAATTACACTCTAGGACTATCCAAACACAGTGAAATACATACATGCCGGGAGCCGCACCGGCCTCTCTGGATGGCAGTCACAGCAAGGAAATGGCAGTGTTTGCAGCTCCTGCCATGAGAAATGAAAACTGGCATCTCCTTCTGCTACTACTGGCTCATGTTGGATATAAGCCTACTGGTATTGACCAGGCCTCACAATATTCCGTATCAGACCCATATTCTGAATACAGATACCTCATAAGGAAAAGCATATTCCTGCCTTTGCAAGAGAGATTTTAGATGAAAGCTCTGTGGATGATTGTCAAAAGGCTCTTCCTATGGGCCTTGCAGATCCAAGACCTAGACAATAATGGGGGTTAAGAACACAAGAGTTACAATTGAGCCTGGCCCTGAGACAAAGAGCCTAATTTAAAGTTAAGGTACAGATCAGGGCAGAACATAAGTTACTACATATATCTTTGCTAATTGGTGAAGCGTAACAGTCCCTTCCTGAAGGCCTACATTCCACAAACACCCTCCCTTACACTGGCAGCTGGGATGAGGATAGATAAGAGTAGCTAAAACATAAACCCAGGTGCAAAGACTGACATATTTATGGCCCCCATGGTGCTTGCACATTCAGCATCAAGGAAAAGGCTCGCTCAAGCAGCTTAGGAACAAGCCTAATATACATTCTTCCCTTGTGATTAAAAATTGTCTAGAGGCCTACCCATGCAAAATAAGATAAGTTTGTTAGTACCTTAATCTGGGGGAATGATGTCAAGAATATGGGGAGGTTCTGCAAGAATACTTTTGTAAAGCCTGTTTCTGTACACCTTCTGCTGATCAAAGCATCTTATTACAAATAATTAGCCCCTGTAAAAATTCTGTCTTCTGATGTCATATTATCGTTGAACCTTAAAATAAAGACACCAAAACCTACAGGACAGAGATGCCTGCCTGGTGATCAGAAAGAATCTCGGGGCTCTCTCATTCTCTTTCGCCGACATCGTCCATCCTTCAGGGACCCCTGGACCTGTCAGAGTCGGCGCGGCCTCTGACACATACAGTGTCATTATGAATCTAGTGTCTTCCAGGGTGTGGAAAGAGGATAAAAGTGGAAAGACAAGTACCCGCAATTACGGTGTTTGCCACAGCCAATCTAGGAAAATAATGCAGGACAGATAAAGGAAAGCAGCATAATAATAGCTACTTCCCACTAGTTATTAAATCCCCATGTTGTTACAGTCACTGTGGTGGATACTTTAAAAACATTATCACAGACCCTCACAATGACTTTGCAAGGTAAGTATTTCTCTCAAGTTTTAAGTTTACAATAGGGGTGCTTGGGTGGATCAGGCAGTTAAAGCGGCTGACATCGCCTCAGGTCATGATCTCGCGGTTTGTGGGTTCGAGCCCTATGTAGGGCTCTGTGCTGACAGCTCAGAGCCTGAAGCCTGCTTCAGATTCTGTGTCTCCCTCTCTCTCTGATCTTCCCCTGCTCACGCTATCTCTCTCTCTCTGAAATAAATAAATAAATAAAACTTTAAAAAAAAAGTTTACAATAGGGAGAGACAGACTAGGAAACTTATCCCAGGGATGCAGAAGGAGCGAGAAGCTGTAACATGTCCCCAAATTTAGCTAACTTCAAGGCCAGCGGGATTTCTCATATATCAAATTGCCTCGGGTAGGAAAGAGTGCTAGCGAGGAGCCTGATGTCATATGTCTCCAGAGCACTGGAGTAGCACTTGCTAAAATAACTTCAGACTTTTCTGGTTGTTTGGTGACCTCGTTTTTTAGAAAAGTGTCACAAAACATAAATTTAATATGCCCTATTACCCTGCATATGATGAGATTATGTCCTATAAACTGGTTTGTTTTCATAATAATATTTTTAGTAAGACATATTTTTTTAAAAAATAAATATTTTATCCATAAAACATTTTTATATCAGAGATTTCATAGCTGATTAAATTCTTGGAGTTCATCATTTCTTTTTTCTTTGTTTTTTTTTTAAGGCCCCAGTTAAATGATATTGTAAATAAATAAGGCACAATACCTTAGTTTCCCAGGCTTCTTTGTGTGGTTTAGCTTGTACAAATCTGTACCATTTTTATTCTGGAAAAAAAAATGTTATTTGGGATGAAGAGAGACACATTGTATCAGTAACATACATAAGAGGATTGGGAACTATTCTATAGCTTTTATGTTATTATATAGTGATGTAATTGTTGTTTCCTCTAGTGTTTCTCTCCTTCCCCTTTGAGAAGCCAACATAAGAGACTTCTGCCTGCATGTCCGGAGCCAGAAACTCATTATGACTGAAGCCCTGCAAGGCAGTGCTGGGAACCAAACTGTGAAATTGCGATTCCTTGAGTGGAGTGTGGGAAGCCCTATGTACTGCTAGTTTTCTAATGGATTGAACCACACAAACACAGCAAACAGAAAACCCTGAAGGTTGATTTCATGTGTGTGTTTATTTTTGTGGTGTTCAAGAGGAAACTAATCAGACAGGGAAACTTATTAAAATAAATGTTTCCTTGTCTAAGAGATGGCCACCCTAACATTTGCTTTTCATTGATGTTTGACATGCATTTTGACTATCCTTTAAAGTTTTATTTTTCCAAAGATTTCATTTTGACAGAGAATATGAGGAAAGAAAACCTGGTGGAATTTGTTAGCTGAAATTTGCAAAATTTTATAATAAATCAGATCTTTGGTCGTTCTTCCTCATGGGTAGACTTGGGAATCAAATGGCCAAAATAATCAACCCTCCCATCTACTTAATTTTCCTGCAAAAACTATAAAAGAAAATAAGATAAATAGTTTAAAACCAATATAGCATTATTCCTTCCATTGAGCCTACATATTTACAAACAGAATTGTGGAACTCAAAAACTCTTTGATGTAAGCTGCAAGCTGAGTGTTAGTGAATAAAACTTCAACATGCAATTTCAAAGAAATGTATCTAGAGCTATGATTGCCAAAAGTAGACAAATTCTTATAAATTGGCCCCTACCTATTGTTTTATATTTGTTCGTACAAAAAAGAGGGCAAATTTCCATGTAACAGGACTCTAAACTGACCAGTAGGTCTGTAATTTTAAGTCAGATGATGGTATTCTAATTTGGTGTAGGCCATGACATGTTAAATAGATCAGCATAACTCTCAGGAACAAACATAAAATGGTCATATACATTTAAGTGCCAAGAGTAGCCAAAAGACAGCTGCCCGCGTATCTGAATCATTTCAGTAATTCTTTCCCAATTCTCTTTCCCCTCTCTCTGCCATGCATCTTTCCAGGTCAGATACTCTCTAAATATCCCTCTTCCCTTTTCGTACAATTTGATCTTTTAGGCTCTAGAACAGGGATTGAAAACTTACTAATGTTTGTCAGGTCATATGCCAACATAAGGAAGGTAAAGTTTGAGAAGTAAATCTGGACCAAAACATTATTTCTTATAAGTCGCTACTCCAAAAAGGTGACTGGTGAGAGTTACTCAGGGAACCTAAAAGCTAGCCTCAGAATACTGAATGCATATTTGAGCTTGAGCATCCCTCTAGCACCAGTGAACGGAAATATTCTCAGCATGTTCTATACAGGCATTGCTGTTGGGGCTGTGGGTGGTGGAGGGGGCTACCACCCTGTACTCATTTCTAGCTCTCAGAGTTTGGCCTCTGTACTTGAGTGGGATTTTATTGTCCTTAATGATACTCCATTGAAAAATAAATATCCTTGGGGCACCTGGGTGGCTTCACTGGTTAAGTGTCCAACTTTGGCTCAGGTCATGATTTCACAGGTTCATGAGTTCAAGCCCCACATTGGGCTCTCCATTACAGCACAGAGCTTGATCAGATTCTCTGTCCCTCCCCCCATCTTTCAAAATAAGTAAAGAAACAAATAAAATAAATATCCTTAAAAATGGACATGATTTAAAAGGACATTACAGGTAAACCAAGAGCTAACACTATTCAGCATTGAAAAACATATTTTAAAACATCGTTAAATCGTTGGAGATTACTGCAAAAACAGAAATAGAATAATAATTCAGATTACACTTATGTACATATATGCATTCACATATATATTTATGTATTGTGTTACATCATAAGTGTAAAAAGAGAAGCTATTTTAAAATGATGTGTGATAAAGAAAATAAGTTTAAAAATGATGTGTGGTAACTGCTGATAAAGGAGCTATGTAAAAGATCGACAGACTGCATTATATATACAATTGTATATATTGATATATACATATATTTGTAATGATAATAAAAATGATTTTATAAGAAGGGAAACAGATCCATACAAATATTTGCAGCAAATTTTATATATTAAAAAAAACAGTATCTGCACTATATAAAAGGTTTATGTAAATTGGCATGAAAAATAACACTAAAATGTAAAACAGAATATGAACAATCTGAATCAAAGGTAGTAAAGTAAAAAATCTATATAAAAATCTTCAATTCTCGTAGTTACCAAAAGAACACAATTAAATAAGAGTAATGTGCCTTTTTAAACCAATAAAATGAGGGACTTTGGTAATCAAGCAGGTGTTCTCATACATAACTTATAAAAGATAACCAGTTCACAGATTCCTTCTGGAAAAATGATTTTTCCAAGATACATAAAATAATTGTACCCTTTAATCCAATTATCTGTTGAGGAGAAGATAAAAGAAACAGGGAAAATACTAAGGGAAAAAATGAGGAAAAGTTAATATACATGAAAATATTCATTACAACAAATGTAAAGCCATTAAAATTATGAGGATTATATATCAACATGGAAAAAGTGCTATTTTATAACACTTAATGAAAAAGAAATAACTGCATCTGTCTACTAAATATAAAAATCATGCCTAGATAAAAACTATATGGGACAAAAACTATTTAAAAGAGTTTGGTTAAATCTTTCACTGTAAGCCATTTCATTGCATTGTATTTTAATCCAATCCATACTACAATTTGATTTATCTAGCAAAAATAATTTATTCAAAGCAAAGATTCCTGGCAAGGAGTGACAAAAACCCTAGCATTCCCCCACTTTCCATCCTTTTATTTTCCATGAAACATTTAGCTAGGCACAACGCCACCTGAATAAAGGCAGCACGTCCCAGGCTCCTTTGCAGCCAGGTGTGGGGAAGTACCGCAGTCCTGGCCCGTGTGCTACGTCAGAGCGCTATGTGGCAGGTCCCTCAATCCTACCTTAACAGGCAGCTGTCAGGCGGCCTTCCCCAACATCTGTGTTCCTTCACCCCGCCGTCTGGGTTGTGGAAGCCAACTTGGACAAGGGCCACAGTGTGGATCCTTCAAGTCAGTGTAGTGCAGAGTGATACTCCCAGCCCTGGTGTGCCTGTCTCTGGCCTTTCTCTACATGAAGGAAAGTGAGCAATAAACTGTCCTGCCTAAACCACCATTAGCTTTCACTTTTCTGTTTCTTAAAGCAGAATCTCAGCCTACTAAATGCAAAGTGGTTGCCTCAAAGCCAGCTAGTTGTAATATTTAAGCCGTAATCACTTGAAAACAACTAAGAGCCAAGTTGGGGCAACACTGTGAGGGCAGGAGGACACTAAGAAGATTGCCAGCGTCGATCCTGGGGCATCCAAGCTCATCAACAGGATCCAGACCTGGCGCGTCAGGCGTTCGCAGTGGGGTGATATCACCCTAAGGTGATGAAATGTGGTTCTTTGAAGAGAAAACAATGTTAGCTATACAATGGTCTGTGGCTCTCCAGCACTCCACAGGACATAATGGGACACGCAATATATCTCTGGTATAACGTTTCATGGTGGTGGGGGCTAGAGCTTTGGGGCAAAGAGCCTAATAAAGGCTGGGAGGAAGGGGGTGGCAATCACGAAAAAAGATGGAAAAAAAGACTGAGGATCTTTGCCAAATGTGAAGTCCTCCCCTGCCTGATCTATCAAGCAAATTCTACTTATTCTTTCAGATTCCACAGCATCTTGAGTTAACAACTCATCACATTGTTTTATTAATGATTATTTTTCCATCTCCCCCACTAGGTTTTAAGAAGATTTTAAGAATATTATGATGTTCAACTTTGCATCTATAACACATTGTATGGCACGTAATAACAGGACAAAAAATATAAGTGGCTGAATGAGCACCCCAGGGGCATTTTTCCTGCAAGTCTAATGCTCCAGCAAGTCTCACTTAACAATAGACACAATTCTCCCTCGGCCTGAGTGGCGACACATTAAGACAATGACTGAGAACACACAGTGTTTCTCAAACAATATGTTGAATAATTTGGTAAAAGAATCCAGTTCGGCCACAGAAAACACCCCATTTCTACTTATTTTTACCAACTTGGGTTTTCCTGTAAAAAAAAAGCTTTAATCTTCTTTATATTCATTAGTATTTAGCATTTTCTTTTTTAATCTCAAACATCAAGTTGATCTGAAATCTGCTGTTATTTTAACAATAGGGCAGAGTTTGATATTTGGAATTTATACAAACACTTCTGAAAAGGCCACCGCTAAATGGAACCTAAGCTTTTTCAGTTTACAGGAAATATCACAAACATTAATTATGAACTCAAGTCTTTTTACTAGTGGTTTATTCTACCAGTGTGGCTCAACCATGCAGAATTAGTCCACCTATAAAGAGTTACTGAACACCTACTGCACGTGACGTGTTGTGTAGGTCCTACACGGGATTTAAAAGAAAACAAAGCCTTGCCATCTTCAAAAGTCATATATTCTTTTTGAGAAACTATCATGTGAAGCGATATAGTTTAAGTGCTTTGCACAATGCACACAGATGTTTGAGAATTTGAAAGGAGAACATACAAAATTCATGCAAATAAGATCCCATGGATAGGTTGGCTTTAGGGACGTGCTTTGCAGTTGAAATAGGATTATAATAGAGGAAGATGGGGAGACGGGTATTGCAGACAGTGAATAGCACAGAACAACACACAAAAAAAGCACAAAATACTTTTCAAGAAGAGGGCATGAACCGCATTTGATTTGTATGCGCATTAAATTTGAGAAACAAATTTAGGCACCCATAGCTAAGTGAAAGAAAAGAACAAATAGCAAAATAACTTGGAGTCATTTCCTAATGAAATTTTTATGCTTTGACAAAAACCATCATTAGCCGGTGGGGACTATAGGCAGCCTTTGAGTTCGTGAACCGGAGCTATGCTTAGGCAAATTAGCATAACATATGTTGGCAGAGTAATGTACAAAGACTTCCAGAAGTAGGGAGACCAACGGTTCAGTCTTGCAATGGCCTGGAAAGAGTTAATAAAAGAGAGGAGTTAGTACTGTAGGAAAGAAATGCAAAAATGAGGATGGATGAGAAAAGTTTTCAGGAGTCAAATTTGTAATTCTTGACAACTTCTTGAATGTCTAGGATAAGGGGATAATATATGGCAAGAAAAAATTATTCCTAGACTTTAAGCTTGAGTAACTGGGAGAAAGATGTGACATTAACAGACAAAAGAAAATAAGAAGGGAATATTGGATTAGGATGTAAGGAGGTAATGAGTTTTCCAATTTGGGCCTATTAAACTAGCCGATGCCCAAATGAGCCCATTTGCCAGGCAGTTAGAAATGCAGTCTCTAGGAATGTAGGAAAAAAAAGTGCTATAAATTATGTAAGCAGAGGTTATGTTTGAAGTGGTGGAAATATTTGAAAAATCAGAGAGTATGGGATAGAAAGTAAAAGGATCAAGGAAAGAAACAGAGATTGCTAATTTTAAGAGACAGAAGAAAGAGACAGAGCAGAAGTTCCCACCGGATCTGTGGAGAACCCAGACTGGAATATGCCACCGAGGCAAGAAGAGCCTGCCTTGCTAAGAAAGAATCTGCCGTGTGGCAAGGTTGCCAAGGGATCAGGAGAAAGCATGCTACTTTATAACAATTGAAATCAATGTTGGTCATCAAACCCTCATTACCACTGTAATCAAAGCTCTCTTATAAACTGGTATCATCCGTTTTCCCCAGTATTTCTCAAGTACCACAAAGTATTGGTACTACAAAGCAAACTTGCAGTGTATCCTGGTCCAAATATCAATGTAACAATATTAACATGTTTCAATTTATTTGCTATTATATCGGGGAAGAAAATATCAGTTCTACAAATAGTAATAATGTATTTTCTGTTTTAGAGGATCATATTGGTAACTCAGTTTTATTAAAGTCATTAACAAACCAGGGAGGGTTTTATTCATTGTTGTTACAGGGGTAATGACGTAAATTGACCCACATGCTGAACAGAGTTACAAAAAAAGATCAGCTGTGAACTTGCTTTGTGAACATGGGAAAGTCATAACTTTGCCGGTTTCACTTCTTGTTTTCTGTTATGTACTGTAGGGGCTGAAGAAATCTCTGAGGCACCCTACTGACTTGATATATATTCAATATATTCCTGTAATATCTTTTGACTAGTTAACTTGCTTAAGAAAAGGTGGCTCTGATTGATTAAGGGAGTGAAAGCAGCAAGATGAAGAACAATATGACAAATATAGGTCTCACATACATAGCAAAATGGGTGTATCAAGTTCAAAGTCCTATATTGGAGAGAATCTCCAGGTATATGAAAAGAGACAGGAAATAACATGTTCCTTTGCCCCAGGGAGTGACAGATTAGAATAGCAACATTGTTCTCAAAAACAATGTTGTTTTAAGGAAAATGTTAGGCAAAAACTGAAATCTTTTACTGGAGAATATCCTACAAATATTAACATGAGATTCTCAAAGCCCTGCCACTGTTAAAAACTAACACTTAAATCTTTTTAACGGTAGATGCACACAGCTAGGTCATTCAGGGAAATTCTCTCATTCCAGAGGCTAGATTAATTCACTGCTCAGGTACTTAGAAGTCACTTTTGAGTTTAGCTCAGGTCATGATCTCATGGTTGGCGAAATGGAGCCACACGACAAGCCTTGCTCGAGGCTGTACCCTGACAAAGTAGCGCCACTTGGAGTTCTCTCTCTCTCTCTCTCTCTCTCTCTCTCTCTCTGTCTCTCTTTCTCTCATTGAGCCCTGCCTCTGGCTGTGCCCTGAAAGAGCAGAGCAGGCTTGAGACTCTCTCGGTTTCTCTCTGCCTTTCCCCTACTCTTTCTCTCTCGGTCTCTCTTTCTCTCTCAAAATAAATAAACAAACATTAGAAAGAAAAAAAGAAGCATTTGAATCTCTGCCAGAAAAATGGAAGTCTGTCCAATTCCAGCACTACCACAAGCCAGAGAAAAACCTCAATATCAGGGCCTGTATGTTAGAAATCTCTTGTCCCAGAGCAGGTTACAAAACTCATTTTGAGCATATGTCAAAGGTGGCTTAAAGGGAGGTATTTGCCATCTATTCTCAATATGTTCTGTAACATACCAAAAAATGTTAAACCAAAGCTGGCTTTTTCCTTAGCTTCTTAATTCTTAATAGCAGAAGCACATAAAAACAACTAACTGGACTAGTTCATCAGAATAAATAATAAATGAATGCATTGCTGGTTAACCTCATTGCTTTTGTTAAACACAGTACTTGTTCCATTTATAGAAAAATTTGAAATAGCTGATTGGCCTTAGTGACCTTCCTACCATTTGGTCAGCCAGTGGTACAGTTCACATAAGAGAGCAACAAAAATGCCTTCTTTTCTCTTTATATACCATTTCTCAAGATAAGATTTGATCCCTTCCATCTCTAAAAAGGCGACTAAATAATTGTTATATTATTATAAACCTGTTAGGTAGATGGAAGCAATGGAAGGAACAGCTTCAGGCAGGGTCCCGAGTCCTTGAAGCGGAATGTTAGAGACATGAGCTGGAAGTAAGGGCCGTGAGAAAAACAAACAAGCAAACAAACAAAAACCCTACACATTATAAGCCCCAGAGCTCACCATCCTAACCTTGTAGCTTCCAAGACCTTGGACCTGACCGATCCAGAGCCACAGGTGCAGAACATTCTACCCCTGCCCCAGGGTAACCTCTCCACTCATAATACATTTGCGTTGCAGGAATAGCCCAAAACCTATAGAAAGGCTACCTGGAGGGTAGGTATGAACCTTATTGGGTCAAAAACTCCCCCTCTCAACCTGTGGGAGGAATTTTCCCAATGACTGGAAGCAGCCTGCATTAGAGACCAGGCCAATGTATATCACCGCTCCTCCCATCCCGGGCACACCCACTAACATCCAACCCCAAAACAACCGAGGGCCGGTTCCACCCTATGCAACCTGTTCTCTCTCCCACTTTGAGAATGTACTTGCTCTTTAATAAACTGCTTTGTGTTTGCTACTTTCCTTCTGGTTGTCTTTATTCTGAGTACAGATTCCCCTGTAAATAAATCTCCTGAGGAATCCAAGGACGAAGACCTCCATTCACACAACATAGTCCCTAACAAACCTATATTTTTAAATACATGGGCTTCAATACATGTATTGCTTACACTTATTGAAGTTCAAATTGTCCCATACAGTTGACCCTTGAAAAATGTGGCAGCTAGGGGTACTGACCCACTGCACAGTAAAGTAAGCTAACATAAGGACGGTGCCTGGGTAGCTCTGTTGATTAAGCGTTGGACTTTGGCTCAGCTCATGATCTCACTACTGGTGAGTTTGAGCCCTGCATCGGGCTCTGTACTGACAGCTCAGAGTCTGCAGCCAGCTTCAGATTCTGCCTCCATCTCTCTGCCCCTCTCCTGCTCGCACTCTCTCTCTCTCAAATATAAAATAAAAAACATTTTTAAAAAAGGAAAATCATAAGGAATACAAAAATGCATTTATAGTACTGTAGTGTAAAAAATCCAGGCATAAGTGGACCATTTAAACCTGTATTGTTCAAAGGTCAACTGTATTAGCCAGTAGGGAACTCTTCAGGTGAATGCTTAATTCCTTTTGACATGATCCCAAAAAGTCTCTGATAGCTCCCTTGCTACCCACTACAAGAGACTTTCCAAACTCATCTTGTACATTTCTGTTAATAGTTTTAAGGTATTTTATTTATTTATTTTTAATTTTTTTATTTATTTTGAGGGGAGGGGGTGGTGTGCATGCACGCATGAGGGCAAGCAGCAGAGTAAAACAGAAAATCTCAAGCAGGCTCCACACTGTCAGTGCAGAGCCCTATATGGGGCTTGATATCACGAACCGGTTCATGAGATCAAGACCTGCGCCAAAATCAAGAGCTGGACACTTAACTGACTAAGCCACCCAGGGGCCCCAAATATTATAAGACATTTTAAAACATAATTTAGTCCCCAGCAATATGCATTGCTGATGGTGATGTTGCTATTGTTCCCAGGCCTTTTCAGTGGAGCTTATATATAAATATTACACACATAACACACACAGGCACACACCCAGACAGACAGACACACACACACACACACACACACACAACACACACATGCATGTCTTCAAACTAATTTTGAAATAGCATGTGATAAATTTGATCTGTTTTACAGTCCTCTCATTTCGGCATGCTTTCATCATATTCATCAAGATATTTGTATCTTGATAATTTTTAATGGGATTTAACTACAACACTTTTCTGTTGTTCATTTTTATGTGAAGTTATTTTCCTGAACTTTTAGAAGGGACCTTGGTTTAGATGACATTTTCTAACTTCCCAGAGTGCCTTCTTGCATCATTTGCATGCAGTGTTAACAAAAAACGTAAATGGTGGCTTTCTTTCCAAGATCTTTTAGTTCTGTTTTCCTTTCCCACTTTTAGGCGGACATCCTTTTCTCTTTCTTGTTAATGTCCCTATTCTGACCAATATTGATTCCACTACTGGCAGCTTCTCCCTCATAGGGGACCCCTTCAAAGTCTGGTGAATCAGATTGCAGAGTTCATGGGGACTAGCTAGCTCCAGTTCCTTACACTTTCCGAGTGCCGGCTCTTTTGTGCGTTCCTAGGCTTAGGTTTCTAAGTCACTCTGTGGCTGCCATATAGCTTCTTCTAGTGAAGGTGATGTTGGGCCCTGCAGCTTTTGTGCTGTTGATTTGTTTCCAGCTTCTTATATTTGGAGGTTCAAAGGAAAAGCTTGTGACTCAGTTTTGTTAGAAACATTATGAGGTTTTTCAATTTCCTTTCCAATTGTTACCACATTCCCAGAATTTCCCAGCACATGCTACTTTTAGAAACAGATGTAGGCAGAGCTCTGGCTATAGATGTAGACAAAGATGCAAAGAGAGTTGCAAGCACAGGTACAAGTACAGATATAGATATGGACATAAGTATACATAAATGTGCATAGATTAAAATGACTAAAGGAGAAGCATGGAATATATGTTATCAGGGTGATGGGATTATGGGTGATTTTTGTTTTGTCATCACATAATAAAACCAAAACCCAAAGGTAGTACTTGCAAGTCTATGAGAATTACCATTATTTCTCAGGGGTGTCAGGCAATGGCCCCTGTTCAGCATCCCATTTGTATCTAAACCCCATTCACAGCAAATTCAATTATCTCCTTCAGTTCAACTAATTGTACTTTTATCTTCTTTACAACAGAGAAAATGGTTCGCTGTTCATTCTTCTCAACCCTTTGGATTTGGGCAAGGGTTCCATGTTTGAGGGTTCCGGTCTCCTTCATACACGTTAAAATCTAACTTCTGCTATTTCATTACAAATCTTTTTTGTCTGAATGGTGTCTTTGCTTTTCAAACATTCTTCATCTTTCATGCTAATATCTAATATAAAATCACAAAAGCCTACTCATGAGCTATAAAGTCAAGAATTTGACTCTCTTTCAGAGTTTTTATTATTATTATTATTCTTTTTTCCCCCTAGGGCAACAGCCCTCACACTCCTGTCTCACTTAATCCTGAAGAAGTAAAAAGACCCAGAAGGAAAATGAAGTGGGTGGTTTTTATAAAATGTTCTCCGTTTTCATTTCTCTATAAAAATGATTGTTTCAGCCTCCTGGGTGGCTCAGTTGGTTAAGGGTCCGACCTCGGCTCAGGTCATGATCTCACTGTTTGTGAGTTCAAGCCTCGCATCAGGCTCTGTGCTGACAGCTCAGAGCCTGGAGCCTGCTTTGGATTCTGTGTCTCCCTCTCTCTCTGTGTCCCTACTCCACTCATGCTCTGTCTCTCTCTGTCTCAAAAATAAGTAAAACATTTAAAATTAAAAAAAGAAAATGATTGTCTCTGAATAGTGACAATAACTTTGTTTACATTTGTGGCAATGCTGACTCTATTTTGTGAGCATTAGCTCACCATTTGGATAAGATCAGACATTTTCACAATAATTTTGAGTCCTCATTATATTCTATTTATACCTATCATCCGTTAAATTTGGCTATCACTACTGTGAAAGAGCAGAGAGAGAAGCAACAGTAACTGTGACTGTAACACTTGCATTTAAAATTGTTAAAAGATGAACTGAGACATATTAAGACTTAAGAGTTTACTTGAGTAAAAATTCATTCAAATCAGACAGTGCCAATCTGAAAGTGGTTAGAGTGCTCCACTGACAGGAGGTAAAGAAAGACTTTTATAAAGAAGCAGCAGGAGCAAACAAAAAATAAATTAATAAATAAAAATTTTAAAAATAAAAAATATTGGACCACAGCTTAAGCGGTTGCCTTATTTGGGTTGCCTTAGTTGGCTGTTTGTGACTGGTTGTCCTTAAGTTTTGATTTCTAAACCTTGAGGCATTACCTCTTACAGCCTGCTTTGCTTACATAAGCAACTAAGGCATTAAAGCCACCTCAGCCTAATGGCCTCCTTGTCTAGTCATTGAACCAGGTTCCCTCCCCTCTCCTGATTGTTTTTTTTTTTTTTTGCTTTGTTTTTGTTTTTGTTTTTTGAGGAATCTGAAACACGATGTCCCCTGAAAAGCGTCCCGTTTTCCTCTTTGGGTTTGTTATGCCCGAATCGCGAGTCCCCAGAGACCTCCAAGGAGCCGGCACCGATGCAAGTACAAAAGGGTCTTTATTACAAGCTCGAGCAGGGGCTCACCTATCTCCTGGCACAGCGGCAGCAAAGTGAAGCCTCAACAGTGGCGAGCAGGGTTTTTATGCGGGAAGGGCAGGGGTGTTACCGTGCACACGTTATACCTTTTGCCTCATTACATAAGCACCCATCATAATTGTACAATGCCCATAGTAGCAGCATAGTAACAGTTTTGACCATTCAGTATCTGCGAGGCATCCGTTACATTTGGCAGGACCCAATCATGACCTTTGAGAGTCTTTTAAAATGACCAATTATAACGTGGGCTCAGAGAATCTACCTGGGGCTTATGCAAGCGGTGATTGATTGGCAAGTCTGTACAAAGTAACTACCTGCAGTTCCCAGCCCTGACTCGTCTCCAAGACTACAGGAAAGTTACACATTTCTTTTGATTGGCAGATCCGAGGCGGTCCGAGGGTGGCTTCAGTTGAGGCTTTTCCTGGAACTGGGACTACGTGCAGCCTGGGGTTGTTTCTAATGGGGAACTTAATTTCGGGCTACTCAGGTTCACTGCCCCCTCTGCTTTTCCTATAGTTTTTACCATGTAAAATAACTAGTATAAACGCATTAGAAGGGACTTGCAGGCGGCTGTTCTGAAATTCTCAGCTGCAGAGACAGCAGATGCAATGGTGCTTTCCTCTCAGCGATACTCCCCACCAAGTCTCAAAGCTACGTTATATCTCAAGTTCTCCAGGAATTCAAACAGTTAGGGGAAAACCCGTCATGATCTTCTCCTGAAATTATATTCCAAGAAGTATGTTCCCTTCTTTGTGGCTACCCTTTGGCAAGTTTGGTTTCTGATTAGTTCAGTTGTTAATGACTGACAGTGAAAACCAC